AAAATCTTAAAACATGGGTACCGAGATTGCGGGGTCAGCCAAATTGGCCAGGGGGAGGGGGAAGGCGTGAGGCCTGGGGGGCGCCGCCGTCGCCTGGGGGCTCTGAGAGCGACATCGCATGCCTGTTTCCCCGTCTCTAATATAATTTCCGCTTCAAAGCATTTTACACTCCCAACAACTCAATTTCAAAAATTTGCACCGGTACGTGCAACGTCAAGCAACATTCTGGTACGTATACTCTGTAACATCATGCGGTTGTCATCTCTTCATCACTCTATCCTCATAAAGATAACAAATCTCCCTCACTAGACATATCAAGAACTGAATTATCACGCGAAGTGACGAGAAAGCGGATTAGGCCAAGATCTCATGCACTCATCAATGATTCGGAGCAGCCAAGCAGGCAAGGAGTGTTCGGCTGGTCTTATTAGCGAGCGTATTCGCTGGCTTATAAGGTATGATATAATATTTTTCTCTCTAAAAAATCAACCATACAAATCAGTACCAAAGCCAGCCGAACAAGCATGCATCTGGCTGTCGTGGAACCATTGAAACAAATACTGCAAGCCGACCGAATCATTCCAATCGATAGAATATATTTTTAGAATTCGCGTGCTCGACCCGGCTCCGACGGTGTGATCCGCGTGCCTTTGCGGCTTGGCAAGCTTCCAGTGCAGCTACGAGCTACCCTTGCCATGGAAGCAAGCTTCAACCTTGGCTGGCTGGGCAGTCGATTCATGGTAGCTTGATCCTGTCAGGATTCGGACAAGGAACGGGCGCGCTGCCTGATTGGGACGGCACCCCGCTCACTCTCAGTTTCAAATCACCTCACGTCCTCACCGCATCCAATCGCCTGCTCCTGCCAGACGTTCGTGTCGGCTTGTCGCTGAGGGGAGGCCGGCTGCATCGTATCTGCAGTCTGTACAGAGCTGATGAAGAATTCTTCAAAAAAACAGAGCGGATGAAGATGGGTCCGGCCACGACTCGGTTCCCGATCATCTCTACTGCCTCAGGCCTTAGTAAAAAAAATGCTATTCTCTCTTGAAATCAATGAATCTCATGCATGATCAAATATATATAAATATTTATAGTAGGAATAAGTATCATTCGATAAATTATGAAATATATTTTTATAATAAACCTATTTTTATACATATATAGATGTGATGATATTTTTATAAAATTTTGACTTAGTTAAAATCTAATGATATTATTTTTGAGGTAGTGCAAATTACAGTTTGGTGAAATTAGACTTCTCTACCCTCTGGTGTGTCAATGCGGGATAGTCATTACAAGCTTGCACATTGTACATGCGTGCCAATACGACGCCATTTCGTTATCAGAAAGGAGGTGTGTAATGAGACGGGTCTGTAACGTCACACTTCTTTTTTCAATAAAAGAATCAAGTTGGGTGAAGTCACCGGTCGACAGCGATGTGGATAGGTTTGGGCCTTTCGCCAGACGCAGCTCGCTACGTCATCACTCGTCTGGTGACATGCCGATCGAGCCGCCGAGGGGACAAGCTAGCACGGCGGAAGATACGTGACGTCGTCGTGATTATGCTAGCACACAAGGAAGGTTAGCTAAACACAGTTCACTATTAATGTGAAAACGCCAACAATTTGGGGAAAGGCAAACGCACACGGTGCAGTTCGAAACTTCTGCACACCCATACTACAATTCGTGCCTCTCATCAAATCTGGAGAACTCATTCATCACCTCATCAGCCTGTCCTCTTCTACGTCGATAGCGTCCTCGTTGAAAGGGCTAGCTACGATCCTTAATTAGATATTTAATAGTTCATTTAGTTAGTTAATAATGTTATTTGTGTTTTGATTCTTCGTCCTCCCTCTATGTTAATCTCTTATACCATTTTATATAATTAGTACTTGGGTCTTTCTATTATTTTCTCTATCTCTTTTGTTCTTTTTATTATTACCTACCAAATGTCTAGTACGTCCCTTCAGTACACCATGTAATTAACTAGTTAATTGTAATTGGTGTTTTGCTCGTTTGCTCCTTCAAATTCATCTATGATAGCATCTATAACTCTATATTATTTAGGATTAGTTTTCCCGTTATCTTATCTTATTTGTTCCTGTTATTATCGTGAACTTTTTTTTGTAGCTAGCTTAAGAATTAGATTGATCGGATGAAGGATAGAGACCTAGGGCTAATTGATTTTGTTCTTTTTTTCTCTATATATTATTAATGTTCTTTTTTGGTTTTCATCTTTCTTTTGTATTGCAACATAAATGTTTACTTGGTTGTTATGTATACTGTTGATGTATATGTATTTCGTTATCATGATTGTTATCAGTTTGAACTAACTTCCCTGTGTCCAAATTCTAAGGTCGTACTAACTTCCTCGTGTCCAAACTCTAACTCCGCCCCTTCACGCACACACGAGACACGAACTGTGGATAAAAAGACACAATCTTTTTGGAGAGGGTACAACGCACACAACCTATGTGCCTGTTGCACCACCATCGCACATGTACTTGTATCCTAAGTTTTCTGAAAAAAAATCCAAAAAGAAGATATGGTACCAGGGTTTAAACCATGATGGGTAACGTCCCACTAAATAGCGGAAACACTCCTTATAGGGCGTCCGTCCGTCCGAACAGACCCTGCACTCGCCCCAGCCCACGTCGCCCTCTCGCGGGATGGACCCCATCCTCGCCGGCCCCGCCCCCGCCGCCTGCCCTCCCGTGTCGCGCACGGTGAGCCCGACACGCTAGGCGCTTGCTACCTCGCTCCTGAGCCCATTCCTCCCGTCGTGGCCATGCTCCATCCGCTCGCCCCGCCCCTACCGAGGTCCGTGCCGCCAACAAGCTCCACACCTGCGACCTCCGCGTCACTACGTGGCTTCGAGCTCCATGCCGATGTCGAGCTCCACGTCGATAAGCCTCCATTCGTCCAAGCAGGAAGCAGATGCTATGCTGAAAGCACATGTTGCAATAGTATGTTTCAAGTGTGCTTTAGATGTTTCCGAGGTATGTTGTAAGTGTTGTATATCGATGTTGCAAGTGTTGAATATCGATGTTGCACATATTGTAATGGCTATAAACGTATGTTTCAAGTGTATGTTCTAAATGTTTTATCTGTTACAAACGAATGTTGCAAGTGTTTTGTCTTGATGTTGCAAAAGTAGATCTAGAAGTTGCATATACATGCATGTTGCAAGCATATATTTCTAATGTTTTCAGGTGTTTCATACGTATGTTTGCAAGTGGGGCCACTATTGGTGCGCTCCCCCGCGAGCCCGACACGCTAGGCTCTCGTTCGCTCCTTGTGAGGGCAGCATCCGGACGCTAGCGTTCGGATCGGACGTCCGGGCACTAGTAAGTCACTAAATAGCCCTACGATTGGACCAGAGGCAATTTGGCACGTAAAAAAAGAGACACAATCAGATGCATGTTGTCGGGGATCAATACTATGGTACTCAAAGAGGAGGAGCTAATGGTCATCAACATTGATTCATCCGAGCAGTCAAGAGCGCGACTACAGTTCCGACCGAACCCTAGGTACGCGGGCTCCGTCTCGCCCGACCCTAAGGACGCGATTTCCGCCTCGCCTGACCCCTCGGGTGTAGGCTCCGTCTCGTCCGCCCCCTTGGGTTCGTGCTCCATCTCGCCCAACCCCAAGGCTCCAGGCTCCATCTCGTCCGACGGGGACCCATACTGCCACCAACCACTCTAGGTCCAAGCGTATGGGCCTGGGTCAAAACTCTGACACCAGAGAAGAGACTGGCACGACTTGATGTAACCCATAGCCATGACGGGCCATACCTAAGAATTCACACCAAGAACAGCATCGGGCGTGCCGGTGCTGTTCTGTCTAACCCTCGTACGAACGCTGATAGGCGCGTCAGTTCACCACGACGTCCGCCGGGACGGAATGAAACGCCATGAGCGGCAGACGACGCCTGCGTAAGGCACCAGAGGCGAACAGGGCCACGACGTGGAGCCGTCCCTGTTGACATTTACAGGATCGGCGGGACCCGCATAGAGGAGAAGAAGGACTCGGCGATCTTGGAAGCCTTCTTCTCTCTCTCGTTCTTCTCTTTTCCTCCGCTGTAACACGTGCTTTCCCTTAGTCTATAAAAGGGAAAGCATAGCGTCCCATGAAGGGGATCCGATTCAAGCCGGATGGACCCATCGACCTATCGATCGAGATCCGCATGAAGCCGGACCGCGAGATAAACACACACGAGCACACGGCTGAGCAGCAATCGAGCTCTCAGCACCCATTCATTCTTTCCATCAGAGACTTGGGATCATTTCCCTCTCTCGCCCGTTTGTAACCCCTACTACAAACTTTCAGTGCTAGTAACATGGGCAGCAGCGACGAACTGGACGTAGAGACTTCCTGCCCGAACCAGTATAAATCTCGTGTCCTCTAAACATACCATCCGAGTCACACGTGCAATATTAGAAATTTACTCGTCGGTGGTAACTTGAAACACCGACACATGTTTTGGTTGGTTCAAAGAATAGCTCAAAACCCAATTCCATATACCCTGGTAGTGTACTCCCTCTGTCCCAAAATAAAAGTCATTCTCGCTATCCGAGAAGTCATTTTTTTAAAATTTTGATCAATTATATATAAAAGAATATTAATTTTGATAATACATAATTAGTATCATTAGATAGATCGTTGAATGTACTTTTATAATAAACTTATTTGGAGATAAAAATATTACACATATTTTCTATAAATTTAGTCAAAATTAAAAAAGTTTTATCTGCACGTATTCCATATAGTTCTTTTTGGGGACGGAGGGAGTAGCACATAGCAAGAACACAGGATAGCATAGCCTACTACTGTACTACATGCCACGTGAATCACGCGAAACAGCGTAGGGAGGGTGGAGAGACGCCATTAGAGTTGAAGCAAAGCAACGGCAGAAAACATAGCAAAAACCCCTAGGAAAGCTAGGTTATGATGCGTCTCCTCTACTCGTCGGTGCAATGCGAATGCACCTCCAAGTCTGCAGCCTAACAGTAACCGTAGTGCTGCAGCAACCGCTCGGCCTCCCTCACACCGCTCAGGTACGCGGCGTGCGTCGTCGAGTAGAGCGTCCGGTGCGTCGCCTCGCCGGCGAACAGAACGCGAAGCGGCGGCGCACTACCAACGTCCGACCCGCGAGGCAGCGGCTCGGCCATCCGGTCGAGGTCCTCGCCGCTCGACCCGACGGCCACGTAGCTATAGGACCCCAGGAAGAGCGGGTCCGTGGCCCACCCGCTCCTCTTGATCCGCTTCACCCTCCATTGTGACGGGGCCGGGAGGAAGGAGTCTAGCGTGGCGTGAACCCCGCCTATGACCTCGTCGTCGGGGAGCGACTCGAGGTGCTGGGCCTCCCGCCCGGCGAACCACGCCAGCGCGACGCTGGAGCCCGCGTGGATGGGGCAGATGGACTCAGTGCCGCGCATCCACCACGGGGTCTTCGACACGTACCCCCGGAACGCCATGTGTAGGAACGGGAACTCCGGTGGCGCAGACGCGGCTAGCGGCTGGCCGCCGCCACCACCTTCCGGTTTCGCCGCTGGCACGGCCTCCAGCTCCATAAACAGCTTGTCCACGACGCCGAAGCCGAGCCTCGCGACGGCGTCGCGCTTGAACTGCGGGAGCGGTGGGTCGAAGGCGACCCCGCCCGCGGCGTGGGCGTCCTTGCCGAGGCACGCCTTGAGGACGCCCAGCGACACCGTGAGGATGACGTGGTCGGCGGCGATCGCCGTCGCGCCATCAGCGAAGTGAAGGCGCACGGGGGTCTCGCTCCAGTCGAGGCGGCGGAGGCGGAGGCCGAGGCGGACGGTGCCTGGCGGGAGCGCCGCGACGAGGTGGTCGACGACGCGGGAGTACCCGCCGGGGATCGTGACGTGGTCGCCGGGGAAGTCGCGGTACTCGCCCTCGGCGGCGAGGTCGAGGTCGCCGAGGTCGTCGGCCGAGGTGTCCGTCCGCTCCCGGCTGATGTGCATGGCGAGCAGCGCGTCCTCGACCTCCTCCAGCTCCTTGCCGCCGCCGCCCGGGCGCGCCGCCTGGTACGCTCGGAGGCCGCGCCTCAGGTACTCCTCTACGCCCCCTCCGCCGCTGGACTCGCCGGCGCGCGCGGCCTCCATCATGCCCCTGTACAGTTCCTCGATCGGCCTGGCCACCCGGTCCGCGTCGACCACCTCTCCGCCCTCGGCGACCGTGAGCACGCGCTCGGGGAACCCGTCCATGCGCTCGTAAGGGGGGTGGTCGTTCCCGCAGGCGAGCGCGCCGGCGTCGCGCGCGAGCGCGTACACGGGGCTCCCGTCGATCCCCTGAATCCACGTGGCGCCCATCTCGACGCGGTGGCCGGCGAACTCGGACGTGAGCACCCGCCCGCCCGCGTGGGCGCCGGCCTCCACGACCGTCACCTCAAACCTGTCCCCGCCTGCGGCGCACAGCCGGTGCGCTGCCGTGAGGCCGGCCACGCCCGCGCCGACTACGACGACCCGCGGCTTCTTGGCCACCATCCTCGCTCGCTCGCTACACAGTGGCTAGCAGCTGCTGGGTGCCTGCCGGGCGCGTATCGGTGTCGCACACCCCACACGATGCAAGTGTCTGACGACTCACGCGTTTGCTCCCGAAACCGGCAGAGCTATTCGAATACGAGCCGTTTATAACGAGGCCATGAGTAGGGCGAGCACCCCGTGTAACTACACAAGACTCGGGTCTCGGACTCTCGGGGAATGATGGGCCTGTCCGGGCGGCGCACACGAACAACAGAGCGAGCGTCTGTCGTGTTGGCTGTGAGTGCCCATACGTGCTGTGTTACGTTGCTCTCTACACCCTATTTGCGGGATGATTTCAGTCAGTCCAAACCAAACAGCTAACAATATTTTTTTTCTCACAGAAAGCCTTGGCCAACCTAAATCAGAAACCCCGCGAAACAGGCCGAGTCTCTAGAACTCTCGGTCACCATCTACGAACCGTTGTTTTCTTCCATAGCACCAGTAGTGCCAAGTGGATTCGCTGCCTAGGCAGGACCGGCCCGGGGGACTGCAGCTGGCTGACACTTTTCGCTGCGCTACGGGGCCAGCGCCGGTCAACAATGTTGCACGTTGCACGTGCCTACATGTACCGGCCCTAGTGACAGGTGGCTTCTCAGTCGTGTGGCTCTCGGTCTTGGTTGTGTGATCCTGCGCGCTCCCCGTGCTTCACGGCTTCTTGGTCGCGTGGAACTGTGGATCATGGTCTGCTGCATGCGCACGGTAACGAGTGGTGTGTGCAGATATCTGAATGAGCCATGGCACTACACTGTCGAGATTGATTGATCAGTCTAACAGTCTTTGTAGTCTGGTTAGGTCTGTTGACATTTTGCTGGAACAGCTCGGCGTGGTGTAAACAGGGAAAGCAAGATAGATTTGCTGGCGTACGCGCTACACCTGTGCTCCGTGTATGATGCACTCCCACCGTCCCAAATTAAGTCATTCCAACTTTCTTTAAATGTCTAAGCATCTCAACTTGGATCAAATTTATATAATCAAATAATAACATTTATGATACCAAATAAATATTATTAGATTTTTTATTAATTATATTTTTATAGTATATATATTTGATAGATGTTGTAAATTTTTATAATTCTCTCCATAGTTTTGATCAAACTTGAGATGCTTTGACTTTTTAAGAAAAAATTGAAATGACTTATAATTTGGAACGAATGGAGTAATGTACTCCGCGAGACGAATTTATTAAACCTAATTAATCCGTCATTAGAACATGTTAATGTAGCACCATATTGTTAAATCATGGACTAATTAGGCTTAAAAAAATTCATCTCGTAAAGTAGTCGTAATCTATGTAATCAGTTAATTTTTAATCTATATTTAATACTTCATACATGTATTAAATATTAGGGACTAAGCAATAAACAATAGAGTGAGGAGTTAACAAGTCCTAACTCTCGTGTGCGAATAAATTCGTGGATGCTCAGGTCTAGTTTAGTTTGCAAAAAAATTTGCAAAATTTTTCACATTCTCCGTCACATCGAATCTTTGGACGCATGCATGAAGCATTAAATATAAATAAAAAATAAAACTAATTACACAGTTTAGACGAAATCCACAAGACGAATCTTTTAAGCCTAATTAGACTATGATTGGACACTATTTACCAAATAACAACGAAAACGTTACCGTACTCATTTTGCAAAATTTTTTCATCTAAACAAGCCAGGACATCGGGCACTATCCAGCACTGGTTATGGCACCATGTTCGAACACTGTTCGCTGCTATCTGTTCACCACTGTTCATTCACTGTGCACTTGTGCAATATTATTCATTCATTTTTACTGTTACTGCTTCCTACCGTTGTGCGCGTTTCTCGTACTCTTCATGTCACCCGAGCAGGGTAGCGCGCGTTCCAGGGCTAGTGTTCATTTTTACTGGCACGGTCCCGTTCGCTCGAAAAAAGAAATTAAAATATTATTTTGACTAATTTATTGTAAAAAAAATGTTTTAACTGAAAAAAGAAGCCGAATAAATCCAGTGAACGGAGCCGAGTCATTCACGTGGTCGCTCGACACCAACCCCGGCGTGCTTTGATGTCTTGCCCAGTACTGTCTACTGTATCACCTTACCCATCTAGAAGTTGAAGTGGGCTATTCGTTTGGTTGTTTAGCTAGGTTACCTCAATTTCTGTGCTAGCAAGATTTTATACTGTCTTGCTTGCTGCTCTGGGTGAGCCAAATCGGCTAGCTTGAGCTAGCAAGGATTTGCTTGCCGAGTTAGGCAAGGCAAGGGAAGGCAAGAGAACCAAAGAGACCCTATATCAGCATAACCAAATTCTAATAAGATAAGCTTTATTGTTAATTGAAATAAAGTTACATAAACAACTTGATAATAAGAATATGTATTTCTAAATGGAAGGATGAAAGGTTCAAAGATTAATGATGTTTCACATTTTTAAAGAGAAATGGGTACTAGTTTCACATTTGTTTTTTAAAAAAATCACATTTTTCTATTTAATATAAATTTCTTAGATAATTTTTAGAGATGAAATTAGTATTTTATTATTTTTGAAAAATAGAAACCAACTTTGAAACCAGCTAGAATACTAAATTTGTCCAGTTTCCACATTTGGAGGGTGTCTGAAACCTGATTTTATAGTTGAAGGTTGAAAATTAGATTAATGTGCAAGTTGTGCAAGTTAAATATTGAAAATGAATTTTACCCTTAATAAACAAATGAAGCAGGCTAGGCAGATTTGTATCTTTTATGTGGTCCATATCCATCTTTCACATCCTCAGATGTTAGAATTTTGTTCCTTTATCTAAAAATATCCATCTTTCACGTGGGTGAATCTGATGCCAGTTCTGTCCAAAGAAAGGGGGAAAAAGGAAAAGGAGAACGAATCCAATTCCACATTCACACCACTGAACTTTCTAACACAGTGTACTCTTTCAACCTGTTGATGCTGTTTTTCATACATCCGGCGAGAATTGCCCTGGCTTCAAACGACGGGCGACATTGTCGTTTGTGAAGCTTACAAAGAGTATCTGTTGGATGGATGCCGAATGCCACCTCATAAGTGGTACGGAGTAACAAATATGTGTGGCATACTGGCATGTATTCTTAAATTGAACAATCCCTTTGTTGTTCTTTACCCGTTTTAATAAAATTTGCGACAAATCTTTTGCTGTACAAGTACAAACACGGACCAATGAATGAACAATCTGATGGTACTAATGTACAAGTTGGTATTAGTGTATGTCATAGAGACTAAGGGCTTGTTTGGTTTCAGACTGGCCAGACTTGCCTGGAGCGCGCGTGAGTCCCAGGCGTCCGATTTCCCACGCCTGGGGACAGGATGAGCTGCCTGGCAGGCATCTGCCTGCGAGGGCTCAATCCAAACACGCCCTAAGGCCCCGTTCGGCTGGCAGAATCTTAACTGAAACTGGCTGGTTGTGTGTGAGAGAAACACTGTTGGCTGGATGGATGAACAGTGCCGCGTGAGGGGAACCAGCCGGCTGGCTGGTCTCCTCCAGACCAGCGAACAAGCCCTAATGTCGATTAGTTTGTTTACATAGGATTGTACACGCCAGTGCTCTCCAATTTGATGCAGCTTGGGAGTTCTCCATAACTCATGGATTCAAAATCAGGCATTTTTTTGACAGGAAAATCAGGCATTTTAATTCCAGTTCAATGTCTAGTACTATCTTTCCCAAAAAAAATCAACTTTAGCTGTCATAGCTCAATGTAGCCTTGGAGTTGGAGGCATCTCATGTTTGGTGCACCGTGCACCGAATATTACTATAATTGATTATGGATAGGATAAATATTAATACTGCCAAGCGATTTTCCACTCCGAATTATGTGGGTGTCTCATTATAAAAATAAAAGAAACTCTGGATAGCTCGTTTAAAAATCTATTCATAAAATAAAAATGTAGGATGGTTTTCTTAGTAAACTACAGTTACTAGCTCTTATTAAGCTCCCTAATCAAAACGCTTAATAGACTAGTATTAAGTAGTGTCCAATAAGAAATAGTGTTGAAGCTTGAAGGAAGATACGTTTCTCAAAAAACTTGTGCGAATTTGAAAAGAGGGTAATGTAGAGTATGCCATGTTTATTTGAAAACCGAAAGTTGTGGGGAAAATGTCACCGCTTTCAACCCATTTATTACCTCAAAAGAAAGAAACCATGAAAGAATAGCAAAGTCCATTGATTCTTTAGCTGTCAATGTTGTACTATGCAGCAATAACATGAAGTCTGAAATCAAGTTGCAACCATGTACTGCTTCAATTTAGCTGGCCATATGGCGACATTTATTTATATTGCTATATAACAAGGCCAAGGACGTTAAAGCGTAGAGAACCATAGGTGCTGAAAAATGAAAAATAATCTGTGCAGTAAGTGATAACCACAACAAACGCAAGGGCAACGGATCTTATGGTTTACCAATATACTCGTATCCTACTTTGAACGAATGGATCTTATGGTTTACCAATTGTCTGTCACATACTCGTATCGTATTTGAACAAACGGATCTTATCTTAATTCTTAAGCATTTGGCAAACCCAAAGCAGGCAAATATCCATTGGTGGTGTCAGTGTCGGCTCCATCCATGCTCGTGGCTGCTGCTGATAGGCTGTCACTTATCAAGTTTTTCTTTTTTTTCACAAACACTTATCAAGTTAAAAGTGGCCTTACCTCTCTTTGCTGGGCGATTATTGTCAGTCGCGCGGCCCCCACTGTTCATCGCTGCCGATTCTGCCGGCTAGCCGCCGCTTGAAGGCTGCAAGGAAAGAGTACTGAGCACGGGCCTAGATGTCTAGTCAATTTTGTGGGAGCGTGCGTGGTCCATCAAGATACGGCCCGCGAACAACGGGCCGTTGGTGATAAGCTGGGCCGAGTGAGTGAGTTTACCAGGGCCCTATCTTGTGCTTGTGCCAGATCGAGGGACGAGCATGCCCTCATCCAAATGTTCTCTTCACATTCGAAGAATCGCGAAAGCAAACCGGATAGAATC